AGATAAGTGATGAAGTGCTCATCTCATAGCCTGAAGGTTCTTACATGAGTGTGTTCTACTAACGAGTAATGATTTGTGACGAAACAGTGGTTGAGCGCTTTTTAATTCCTTCCTGTCATTCTCTAAGTGATTTGAATTGGTAATGATTAGGAGTATATTGTTTAACTAATTTAAAACAAAGAAAATTCTTTTTGACACGATTTTATTTTCATGTCTGTACATTTGTATTCATACATACATTACAGTAGACAACATGAAGTGCCTTTGTTCTGACTGACTGGAAATATTGAAGTGCAGTAATATTGTGGCGTGTGCTACTGATAAGATTCAAAGAGACGTTCATCGGCGTAAAAACACCAAATAGAAAGCAAATGGTACAGAGTTGCAGAGATACATGGAAGATGTGAAAGGAACACATAGAAACACAATATGAAGACCAGAAGTAGCTCAACATGGAAGATCTTCAACCAAGTCTTTCGTCTTCTACCGTTAGAATATTAATTTAGATGGTTGTGAATCACAGTGTGTAAAAGTTGGCGACTGTTTAATGATTATTCTGTAGTAATCAAAGAGGTTAATGCAGGCCAGCCTAAATCTCTTTTCGAATGGTCATCAAAGGACGTGTGTACATCTCAGCAGTTCGCGCTGTCCTCCCTTATGGCTGGGAGGTGTGGCCATTGAAGAATAGAAAGACATTAAAGAGGCTAGCCAGCTGTCTTTCATCACAGTTTTTCACGTTCTATCTCACATATCAAGTTGTCCAATATGATAAGTAATACTGAGGTTAATCGTAGTGTGTTAGGTAAGGAGGGGTCTAGCCAACTGATGAGGTTTCGAAGCTGTATCTACTGAGCTTGTTAGGACAATTGTTGTGGATCACGAGTCACCACCTTCCTCATTAAGCAGTGTTTGCTGAAATAGGTGATTAGGTTGAAAAAGAGTTAGTAGTGGTCTAGTCAAAACATGGCATCAGTCCATGCAATCTCTAATTATTGGTAGTGAGGTATAGACTTTCTGGATGGGGTCCTCAGGATGCTAAGAACTAATGTCTTGAGACTGTTGATGATATGGATCAAACCGTTTTCACCAGAGTGGATGCATTCATTCTTTGTTATCTCTCAGTACGTTTCTTTCCATTATAGTTCTAAATTTTTCTCTTGTACCTTTTTGTGCTAAGTGGGGTGTGTCGACTTGAACTGGTGCATTTCTGTGCAAAGTCCTACGTTGAAACGCAATCAGATCATTCAGGTTGTAACGATAGAAGACAGGAGCCAAGCAACAGATAGTTTATTGAGAAAACCAAGAGATATTTATAGATTTTTATGTACATTATTGTCAACGGAGAAGCAGCGTCTTCTGATTGGTTGTTTTCTTTCTGAAGGTTATTCTGTACTGCTTGTAACCGTTTCTCAAAAAGCTAAGCCATATATCTGCAAATTCTATTCGCACACGTTAAGTCCACTGCGACTGGTCGGTGAGCTCCTCAAGGTTAAGCTTTGCTATCGTTTTTCTCATGACCCTGATTCCAGAAGTGGCAGTGACGTAAATTGTTGTTTGTAATTTTCTCTTGTTCGCAGCAAACTCTCACCACAGCGTCACCTACCCTAGCTAGTACAGCACCTAACCCACTTGTTTAAATCCTATCGGAACTGTATTTCGTTTCAGTTGTAATCATCGTTAATAATCTACGAGTATAACGGTGTGACAAACGGTTTCACCACTAATAATTCACTTTCCATTGATCTTACCACATCTTTATGTCATCAATATGATGAAAATATTCAAGTGTTGTTTTGCAGGGATTTGATTGGTTTCATGGTTTCATCATAAACTGAAATCAGTAAGAGGACCATTGGAAAACCGACCAGGGAGTACTGGACAGCCAGCTGTTACTTCCTAGTTTGGGACTATTCAGCAGTACGCACCACTGAGGTTCGAACCCAAAACCTTCTGGTTACAAGGTGAATGTCATCGGTGAATGAATGTATTTGTCCTCACACCCGACCTGCTGTAATCAAATGGGTACGACCATTGGGCAGGGTCCCAGTGGCTAAATGGTCTGTAAACTTGCCTTGTAACCATAAGGTTTTGGGTTCGAACCTCAGTGGGTGCGTACTGCTGAAGATCCCCTAAGTAGGATGAAACGACTAGATATCCAGTACTCCCAGGTTTTCCAATAGCCCTCTAACCGATGTCACTTCATGTTGAAATCCTGAAGATAGTTAAATTATGGGTTTTTTAGGGATTCGAATTAATTTCACTTGTTCGGTCTCGTTACGAACCAAAATCATTCAGAGATCATTGAAAACTAAGCAGCACTGGAGAACTGTTTCGTTTTAGTTTCAGACTCTTAATCAGTGCATATCCACAACCTCACCAGGGATCAAATCTTTAACCTTCATACTACGAGATCAAGCTCGCCGACTGTTCACTCACTTGTGCAGGAATCCAATGACCAATCAATTCAAACTTAATTCCATATTAGATATATCACAAAGTGAAACAGTATTATCTACTGGATGACGTTTCGTACAAAATTTATTGTTCATAATCATATCAATTATAATCACACGACTTTGACACTTGAGTTTTATAGTTTTCTTTGTTCTCTCCTATTTGTCGTATGGGTAGTAGAATTTTCCAGATATCTGGGACAGGTGGTGAATCATTCCTACTACATGTATTTGTAGTTGATTCGATAAACAAAGCTTCTGTTATCAATCTCTCCCTCCATTCACCCTGTGACATTAGATTTTAAAACTGTCATCCTATCCCATCCCATCCTATTGTATGGTTGTGTGTGACTGCATGTAGTGAGTGCTATAGCTGAACTATTCTCTAGATTTCTTATCTTATTCGGGTCAACCAATCTAGATTTTGCTAGGTTTTTATGTTCAGCTAGTCTGACTGCCCCTGTTCTACTAGTTTGACCTATGTATTTGACCTGACAATCATTGCAGGGTATTAGATAAACTAAGCTGTTTTGTTTTAAAGGCTTCACAGGACTGATCCTTTAGCCGACAAAGCTTGTTTCTAATTAAGTTTGTGGGTTTGAATGCCGTTTTTATTCCTGCCTTGTTGAGAATTCTGCGTAAGGCTTCCGAGGTTCCTTCCTTGTATGGAATTACTACTGATGATTTAGATTTCTTATTATTGGTGTCGTCATTAATATTATTAATATTATCACTATTATCATTATCATGATTATTGTTATTATCACTACCGCTACTATCATTATTTATTTTATTTTTACATTTCCTCACATATTTCTTGACTAATTTATCCGGGTAATTATTAAGTTTCAAAACTTCTTTTATGTGTATCAGTTCCTGTTTTAGATTTTCTTTGGTACTACTTAGTTTTTGTGCTCTATCATTTAAACATTTCACCAATCCTATTTTTACTGACATAGTATGGGACGACCGGAAGTTTAAATATCTGTTTGAGTGTGTGGGTTTCCTGTAAACACTAGTGTTTAACTTCCCACCTTCTTTCCTCTTTACGTTGCAGTCTAACATTGGGAGCTCCCCTTCCTGATTTTCCAATTCATAAGTGAATTGAATTGCTTCAACCTTCGAGTTGATGTGTTCCAAAAACCTATCTATATCTTGTGTTTTAAGTACAGTGAATGTGTCATCTACATGCCTCCACCATACTTTTGGGGTGGGGGTGAACGTTTCAATCGCTATGTTTTCCCACCTATCCATGAATATATCTGCTACAACCGGGGATATTGGTGATCCAATGACCACTCCCTCAGTTTGTTTGTATATTTTCCCTTGCAATTTAAATACTGTGGAAGTCAGGCATAGCTGTACTCTCAGCATTATGTCCTCAAGTGGCACTTTTATCCTAAGTTCGAGTTCTTGGTCAGAAATGAGTTCGTTTCTGACTGCCTCCAAAGCCATATTTATTGGTATACGTGTGTATAACTTATGTCAGTTCATGAAACAGGGCTACCTACAACTAAAACCATCGATTAGTTTCCACTCCACTTTATCATGAGGAACCTGACGGGTTACATTTTCTCAGTACAGCTCCAGTACATCCATCTAGTAACCAGCAATCAACTGTAGACCAATGCTTAGACTCTATGGGCGTTCGGTAGGGTTTAGAATGAATTTCATGATGGATTTCATCATGAAAATACAAAATAATATAAATAATAATAAGAAAAGTAACTATCAAAAAGTCAGATGATGTATATTTCAATTTGATTTATATATATAAATATTTTCAAATAATAATAATATTAAAATTTTAATGAATCAGTTAAACATTTAAATGCATTCCTTTTTTATATACTGATAAAGTTAATACTTTTTGTTGTTGTTACTGCTGTTGTTTAAAACAACTAATGGGTTAATTTTACATTTATCCATTGAACAATTGAACACAGTATTGTCATCAATAAATATTATTCGTATATATATGTATATTTAATAGTGAATTAAATAAGAAAGGAATTTCTTAAGTGAATTCATCCATTAATAATACGTATTTGTATGCATACATGCATGTATGTATATAATATCTTCTTCCATACAGTATATAAGTCTTTTCAATTTATATACAGAAACACACACACGAGCGCACATGGTATGCTCAATTTTCAATGGAAGATTTATCGGATTTGTTCAATCTCTGACTTATTTATAATCATCTGTGAATATGTAATATATACTTGTACACAGCGAAATAGTGTCTTGGGTTGTATAATAGAGGCAGATAGTTAGTTAAATTTTTTGATGTATTGTGCATGTGTGTGTGTGTAGGAATTTACATGAATCTATCTATAAACGAGATCACAAAATCCTTGGGATCCAAGACAGAAATATAAAGTTTATTGAAATAATTCTTTTATTCTTAGGTCAAATACTTTTTTTTCTTTCTCAAGTCATATGAGGTTTTGATTTCTTTAAAAAGGCAATTTTTTTAATTCATCAGTTAAATATATATAGTTTAAAATGTACAATTTATGTTTTGTTTTATTGCATTTCTTACACAGTTGTCATAGTAACAAGTGTTGTGTTATCATTTTTAATATTTGAATTTGATACAGAAGAGTTTTTATGTGAAGATTTCATTATATCGATGCTGTGCTGATGTGAATTTTGTTGTTGTTGCTGCTGTTGTTGTATTACTGTAGTGGTTTGTTTACGTTTTCTGTCTGCACGTGCTTTTTCTAGTTGTTTTTTACGCTCTGAACGATTCCAGTAACGTCCAGTTTTTAATTCACTCATAGCATCATCGTCTGTTGTAATCCCTGAACGTTCTTCAGCCACGCGTTTAGCGCGTTCTTTAAGTATTCGATTTCTACAAAAACAGCAATATTGATGTAATCAGATATCTGGGACAGATTTTTCAAATAACAAGGCTACAGTCCACTGACTGACTGACTGACTGATTGAGCTTAAACATAGAACTTAGCAAGGAAGTACACCAGTCTCAGGTTGTCACATTCCATGTAGCATTCAGAAATCGACAAAAGAGAAGATAAAGGGATTCAAAAGTACTATAATAATCAGAAATCTGACGGAGAAGGAAGCGTAACATGGGAAGAAAATTAGGGTTGAATGGACGTAGGTGTAAATGCATCTGCGCCATTGAGAACAATCTTGAGTTGTGTCTCTCCAACCAATGGTTCTTAGCGCCATGTCAACCCAACAAGGTGGCCTATACCTCCCCATGTTGCTCGAACTAACTGCCAAAGGTTTCATGGATTGAAAGTAGGTTTTGGTTTCAATGTCTCCAATTCTTTTCCAAACTAACCCCATGTCACCTAAGATTTCCTGTTGAGCAAAGCGTTGGGTCGGCATGCGCAAAAAGTGTCCCAGCCATTTCAGTCGATTCATCTTCATAACCTCATCCATTTGCTTGGCTTCCTTACTCAATCTTGTACGCCTAACCTCAATATTGTCAGTCATATTACACTGTGGTCAAAGACAGCCAGCCTAAGACGTCACAAAAGTGAACACACAAACGTCGGAATTGATAATTAGGATATTACAGATGAAGCAGCCATATTATACTCCTTAACTCAGTAGATCGAAGGTAAATGTCCGTGGCCAAAGACAACTAGCCTTTTCATATTTTCCACTTTCAATGACCATGTCTCACAATCATAAGGGAGGACAGAGCGAACTGCTGCTCAGTACAACATCCTTTGACCGAAAGCCCGATATCTCGTCTACACCGGAGATGAAATAGGTTGTCAAATGCCGTACTAGGATCCCACAAGAAGTCAGCCCAAATAAGTGAAGTGGTTGACATGCCTAAGCACATCACTGTCTGTCTGTCTGTTTTCAACATAGGACTTTGCACCGATGTGCAGAATTTCGAGTCGCCACACTCCATGTAGCACACAAAGCAAGAGAAGAAAGTAGAAGAAGTGCATAATAGTAGACAGTAGTATTCACTTCAAACGCCTCGTTGAGTTTTCCATTGTGGATCACCTGACACATGGCATTGTCATATAGCTGTTGAATGAGGTTGATAAAGATTTGAAGCACTCCGTAATGTCAAAGTAGTTTCCAAATTACTTTTCGGTCAACGCTGTCGAAGGTCTTTTCAAAGTATATGAAGTTGAGGTAGAGCATAATCTAACGGTATAGTCGATCTTAATCAACGCTACAAAAGTAATTCTAATTCCCATCTTTAAACACTAGAAACTATGATTCATTTTAAAAGCTCACCCCTTGTAAATGATGTCAATTAAAATAACACTATAAAAGTAACAGAAATTTGGATTTTTAGGTCAGCTTAAGTCATCAACAAGGTGGCCTTGCAACCCGAAGGTCTTGGGTTCTTTCCTTAGCGGTGACATCATAGGTATGTACCACTGAATAGTCTTAAACTAATACTCTTTGATGGTGTTGAAGGGTTCTCTAAATCAAATCAAGTTAAATCTTGATCAACCCCAGAAAGTGGTAATGCCTATTCAAATTTCCTTTCCTTCAAGTAATATTTATTTACCCAGAAGTGAAATAGAATGCGAACTTGTCTGAGTTTATCATGAACTTAGATATTAAAAAATGTACAGTATATGTATACTTACTTATAGAAGACAGTTAGTTGATTTATGCTTGAAATTCGTGCATACCTTAGCAAGTGTTGATTTTATTTTCTGACTTAGGAAAAATATTAATAAAACGGAGAAGGAGATAACTACTCTACTCTACTCTACTCTGAAGGCTTTTATCATTTGCAGTATTATTATTATTATTATTAATATTATCCTACCAAGTTTGTTTATTGCAATCACGAAAAATAAGGAAAGAAAAAAAGAAAGATAGAGAACGGAAAGAGAAGTTTTATTCGCCTTGATCAAAAATGTCAAAATACCGCCAACGTGTATTTGCTGGTTTGTTTGTTCGTCGTTGTTGTTGTTGTTGCTGTTCAATTTTTTATTATTATCGTCTATGGTGATTCAAGTTAGTATTGAAAGGAATTAATGATTAAATTGAAAGATATTATTAAAACAAAATAAGAGTGGACGATTTGAATTTATCCAAACTTTGGAAAAAAAAAGAAAAAATATTATGAAAATACTGAGAAGAAAGGCTTACACAAGACTGTATGGATTATAAGTCGATCTACAGGAGGTATGTGCGTTGGTGGCATAGCGGTTAGGACGCTCGCCGACCATGCACATGGTCCGGGGTTCGGTCACCGGCCGACGCACTCCTTTACCTCGCTAAGACAGAAATAAAGCTGGTAAAGAGGAAAGGTTGGGCATGAGGCTAGCAACCCCATCCTGTAAAATTAAGCACTGCCATAGAAACTTCAAGTCGCTAGCTTGAGGCCCTATGTTCCACTGGGGAACGTGAAGGAAAAAATAAAATAAAATAAATACAGGAGGTATACAGAGATAGAAATAATTAGAATACCCTCCCCCCTAGTAAACTGGGTAACAATGATATGCGTGTGTCAGTGGTACAGTTAATTAAGTACATGTGACCCAGGTTCGAATCCTGGCAGAAACACACTTCTAAACTTCACCTAGTCTACTATCCCGAAGTATGTTTGGAGAGGAGGGCGGTTTAGGTGGGAAACTAGCAATCCCATAAAGTAAAATAATACCACCTGCTAGTGAAACTTCAAAGACTTGAAACAGTCATCTAAAGTTGTGTAACTTTATTAGGGTTCATTTTATAAATTATATATATAATACTTATAAGTAGTTCAGATCGAGGCAGAAAAGTACGGGATATAAACTCATTATTCAGAGGTTTACAGACAGACTATATTTCAACTATGAGCATGACGAGGTAATGAGTGGAAAAAAAAGGTTATTCTAAATTAAGTAGTCTCATAACTGCTTATCAGAATACTCAAAGTAAGTTACACAAGAGGTGTCTCTCGTGTTTCATTGGCATGGTGAATGATGCTTTGGCGTTTGAGATAATGGGCGCTGGGTTCGAGTCCCACTGGGGACGCCGTCGCTCACATCAGGTTGCAAGTACACTCAGATGACGAGTCTCAAATAGTACGAAATGCGAATCCTTTATTGTACTGCTAGTCAGCATCAATCAAAATAACATTATATAATTATGTTTAAAGGATAGAACAGTAAAATTACTAAGTAATTTTAGGAGACAGGCTCCTGAATATCAGTTGATTTCCGCTTGAATCTAGTAAGTACCGAATTGTATTGAGTGTCGCTGTATATTACTATATGTAGTTAGCTAAATCCCATGTCAATTTAGGATTTTTGGAGATTATTTTCCCTTAAGATGAATGAACTACAAAGTAACCTTTTACCTACTTTCATTACCTTAACACATCTTCGAGATACCATGCAGAAATATTCTGTTGCGTCAGTCAAACGAACCATAAAAATGTTTATTTTATGCTTTATTACTCTTAATACTTATATCAACCAATTATACAGCACGACACTATGCGCTCTGGTCTCTGTCTGTCTGGATTCAACATATAACTTGGCACCGAAGTGCAGCAGTTCGAGTTGCCACGTTCCAAATAGCACACAAAGGTAGACAAGAAAATGAGTGAAGAGAATCAATAGAGTTTTGACAAGTGTAGGAGTGAAACAGAATGAGTAATGGTAGAAAGGAATATGAAAGATTACAGAGACTGAATACATCTGCATAAGCCATTGACAACGATTTTGAGCCATGTCACCTATTGTCTCCAGCCATTGATTCTTAGAGTCCCGAGGGCGGGTCCCAAACCCGGAAGTCTGCATCTCCCTCCCTACCTGACTCAGTTTAACCGTCAAGGATTTCATGGACTGATGCCATGTTTTTGTTTGGCCACCACTTACTCTTCCCCAACCTGCACCTATATCAGCTAGTAATGCCCGTCGGGGGAGACGATGGTTAGGCATGCGCAGCACGTGGCCTAACCATCTCAATCTGTGTAACTTTATAGCCTCTTCGATTGATTTTCCCTCTTTGCCCAACACTCTACGCCTAACGTCGACATTGCTTACCTTATTATACCACCTAACGCGAGAAAGAGATCGTAAACATCTGTGGTCAAAAACAGACAATCTCTTCATGTCTTCCGCTCTCAATGGCCACGTCTCACCGCCATAGAGAAGGAGGGAGCGAACTGCTGAGCAGTATACACGTCCCTTGGTTGACAGCCGAATGTCACGCCTACGCCAGAGACGGTGTAAGTTAGCGAAAGCAGCCCGAGCTTTCTGGATCCGTGCTGTGATTTCGTCACCAATCAATCCGTTGGTGCTGATACAACTTCCCAAATAGGTGAAGTGGTCAACATGCTCTATCACTTCACTCCCTATCACTAAGCTAGGAGTTGACGTAGTCCAGTCCTGTAGCAGCATCTTACATTTTACAGGGGCGAATCGCATGCCAAACATACGAAGATTGCTGCTCAAGGTGTTCAGAAGACTCTGCATTTTGTCAGCATCCTCCTCTATTAGGACAATGTCATCTGCATATTCTAAGTCCATAAGACTATTCCCTGGTAACAAGTCTATTCCAAAGTCACTCTGGACTCAGCTATCTTCCTGAGACAAACCTTTTTCTTTCTCTGACAATACGTAATGATTATTTGTAACTGTAGCGCAACTTTTTGAGTACACTAAGCATCTTATTTTTGAAGTAGAAGCTAAATACCCCTCTAACTTCTTTCAAAAATCTATATAATGCAATGGAGACGCGGGGGTGGGGGGGCAGCGTTTGTCAGGATACCAAAAATTCATCTTATTTTATACTGCTCTTGTCAAAATTGTATTCAAAATTACTCAACATGGAAATTCAGAAACTGCAGTAAAAATGAAAAGTGACAGCTGATATCCGGTGTAAGAGAAGTAGCTTTTGCGTTTT